TCTCTAAATCCTGTTATTTACTGCTGGAGGATGAGACCAATTCGACACGCTATCATGGGTGTACTGCAAAATTGTATTTTCAAGTCAAAACTGAATAAAATTTTAGAAACTAGAAGACAGTGATGGAACAAATTCAAGTCACTGCTATTAGAGTAAGTTTCTAAACAACTACAACTACATTCAAAAATCGTTTTCTGCTTTAGAGGAAAGCGACTTTAATGAACTAGAATCCTGACGTTTGTTGTTATGCAAATAATGAATGAATGAAATTGTTTGTAATAACTCGAATCTAAATCTTTTTGATCACTCTTGCCATATGTATTATATGAACTAATCCGTTTCAAATATCACGAGTTGGCTTGAAGAGCCTTTGATTATTGCTCTCAGCTTTAGATTCGGTCACCAAACCGAGGTGTCGTGGCTGTAGGGCTGGGTACTTCTGTGTTGGCGATGGCAATGAAGAGCGCTGCGGAGTCAACTCATCAACTGAGTTTTCTTTTGGATCTGCTGCAAGCTGTTCACCTTGTCCCGAGGGATGGGTGAGTGAATACAATAAAAAAAAAATGCCTGTAAGAACGTAGTGGTTTAAGATACATAGTACAGTTATGAATATATATTGTATATTTAAGGACCAAACCCTAGTTTGTTTATTTTTTCTGGTAATCAACAACTATATCTCCTTCATAGAAATTAAGAACCTAATTATTATCCTACTTAGCCAAAATTGCCAATAACTACCCCAGAATACAAGAACCTATTTTGCCAGACTTAAAAACGTATTGTTAGGCTAGGTTAGGTTAGGTTAGGTTCTTAGACGCAGGTTTTATCTGTAATTGAAATGAGCTTGTCCTTTGAAGGAGTGGACACTAGCCCTCAGACATTTTGCATGAATGGCGCCTAAATTAGAATAACAACACTATAGGTGGAGTTTCCGCCGTCGAGAAAAGCGTTACAGAATTTTGTCTTTTAAGACAAGAAAACGTCAAGGACTTTATTATCCCGTCTCGGAAATCCTAATCTTTGAGTCAGGGGAAAGCCGGGGAATTCAATTTTACGGTTACTGAAGGTTTAGATATGAAATTTTGATGATGATTATGGTCGTCATTTCGGTCAATAAAAATTGCTTCTTCGAAAGAGATTGAAAAATGTAAATGCTACTATTCATTTGATCAGGTTTACCATTGTCCGTGTCAATTGTTTTTTGGTAGTGAAAAGCCTGGCAATTTGGGTTTGAGTAAAGTTTAACCGCTCGAAAGAGCTCTGACAGATAATGCTTGCTTTATATGACAGCTAAAAATTCTGATGCGGTGTTTCGTTTGCTTGTTTACAGCTTTGTGCGAACGGCACCGCGCTTCCTTGTCCAGAAAGTACTCATGTCAACTGTAATGAAACGGTAAGTAGGATAAGTTGTCAGTTTAAAAATTAAATGCATTCTATCTTGTTTTGTTAAGTTTGACCTCTCGGAATATCAAAGCAGATGGCGAGTCTTTGTAGTCTTCTGAGCGGTGCTGAGAAGCGTGTGTGGTTAAGAGAAGGAGGAAAAGAAATGACATTTCAGTGTTATAACAGTGGCTCGTGCAATCTGTGGTTTCAAAGTTAATGTCTGATCTTATTAGTTTTGTCCAGAAAATTGTTTTGACTGCGAGCCTGGCACAGTATGCTGGGGAGGGATGAAGCAAGATTGTACACCAGGACGATACAGTAATGGAAAAGGTAAAAAAGATCTCGTCTTTCCTTGCTCAGCACAGGCTAAGAAAGATTGTGTGAGAAAGAAAAGAAGCGTATGTATTGCAGGCAGTATTCATGTTAAAAACTTCCAGGGCCATAGAAAACTTCTCGAATTTGAAAACAATCGTTTGCAAAGTGTTGCAAAATGTTGTTGAACAAGTGTTCAGAGGATGTTCATACAAGTGCTGTAAACTTCTCCTCGTTGATACTTTCATACTTTTAAACCAGTCTCCTTTTTCTTGCAGGTTCTTTTTGGTTTTTGTGACTCTCCCTGTACATTCATACACTGTAAAATTTCCGCTCTCCATTACGTTACATTCCTCCTTTACCAGAGAATGCGTCCAATACTTTTTCATTCTGTTATTCTTCCATTTCACTCGACTTCATTCTTGTTCTCGCAGGGTTTCCTTGCAAGTTGTGTCCTCCCGGAAGCTTTAACAATGAGACTCGTGCACAAACGTGCGAATGTTGCCCTGATGGCTACTCCAGTACTTATATGAAAACCAGCTGCTGGCCATGTCCTGCTAATGAGTGGGCAAAGCATGAAAACTTTCCGAACTGTTCATTATGTCAGACGTGCTTTACGCCAGAGGACTGTGAGTATTTTTGCTTAAGCCTCATTCATGCTAGCGACATTGTGATAATGACATAAACATGGCGACATAAGAAGGACGTTATGTCGTTATGATTGCAGTGACATAATGACAAAATAGCAAAATAGTAGCATGGGCATAACAACATAATAGAAAAAAAAAATGATCTTTTCCTTAAGTCTTTATCCCGATGTTCACTTTGCCGACACAAGCGATTATCTCGTTATGTTATTATGTCGTGATGTCGCTAGTGTGAACCTGGCTTTATTAAACACTTTTAAGACCCAAAACTAGACATATCAATTCTGTAAGCGTAAAGGGAACTCTGTTTGAAAGCCACTATATTCCTACTGCCCTTGTCTTGGATGCTAGTCCAATGCACGGTCTCCTCACACGCTTTGTCGGGTTACCTTGACATTTCGCCAGTACGCACTTCATATGCGCCTGGACGGGAAGAGTCACTATGGATGAAGTATCATGGCAGGAATTACTGAAGAACAC